CGTATATAAGCGGTTTTTGATCCGTGTAGATCGTGAATTTACGGCCTTCTAACATGTGGCGAAATCATTTTATTGACATATATATTGCCAATAATTCTCTATCATAAGCTGACCAGTTGTGTTGGTTTGGTGCCAGTTTTGCTGAGATAAAAGCGATGGGTTCCCATTTCCTGTTGTATTGCATCAGTGCTCCTCCAACTGCTGCATCTGACGCATCTATCCATATGCATAGTTTAGCTCCGGGTATTGGATGGTGGAGAAGGGTGGCTTTGGCCAGTGCTTCCTTAGCTGATAAAAAAAATTGTTCTGCCGCTTCTAACCATTGCAGAGATCGTGATTCTGTTTTCTGAGTGAGTGACATACGTTTCTTGTTCTTTTTTCCTTCTAGTAGTTGCACTAGCGGGGCGAGGATGTGTGCTGCTCGAGGGATGCATCTCCTGTAGAAATTTATTATACCTAAGAATCATCTAAGTTAAGTGAGAGACGAAGGTTTGGGAAATTCTCGGATGGCTCTGACTCTATCAGGGAGTGGTTCCAGACCCTTTTCCAAGACCTTGAATCCGAGAAATTTGATTGATGGTATGCCGAAGGTACATTTTGATGGATTTATGGTCAACCCATATTCCTGGAGACATTGGAATAAGGCGCGAAGATGTGAGATGTGTTCTTCCTGGGAACGTGATGCTATTAGTATGTCATCGACGAAAGCATATGTGAAGGAGAGTCCTCTGGTTACTTTGTCGATGAACCGTTGAAATGTTGTGGATGTGTTGCACAATCTGAATTGCATCCTGGTACTCTCGAAAAGACCAAACGGTGTCGTTTTATAGCTGTTTTGTGCACGTGCGGTGGGTAGATGGGTATCTGATGCTATCATCAGAGACCCATCTACCTTGATTAAGTCTATGTGAAAGAAGATTTGTGTTCCGTGCAGTTCCGATGTGAAATCTGCGATGTTTGGAATGCCGTATCTGTCCTTTATGGTTTGTACATTTAGAGCACGATAATCTCCCACAGGTCGCCAATGTGAACTGTTTTTCTTGGTGACCATGTGGAGTGATGATGCGTAATTGCTTTTTGATGTTCGCATATGGCCGAGAGCTATCATCTTATCGAATTTGGCCTTAGCGATTTTAAGTCTATCGGGTGCTAGGCGCCTAACACCCGATAGACTTAAAATCGCTAAGGCCAAATTGGTTTCGCAGTTACAGGCGGACCAGTCGTTTCTATATGATGTACTACGTTGTGTTTTATGGGTTGATTAGGACATGGAGGTCTAGTAATCTCAGGAAATTCTTCCAATATCTTATGATATATGGAGTCGTTGGTCATTATTTTAATAGAGTGGATGAAGGTTTCTAATAATCTGCCTGGAGAGTTCACCTTGGTCTGAACGTCTGTGAGACACTTGTGTCTAAGATTCGGTACCAAATGGAAATGATACAAGAAATCCACGCCTATTATTGCCATTGACACATTGCCAATAAAGAATTTCCAGCGAAAAATTTTCTTTAACCCAAAATCAAGTGTCAATGTTCGTTGGTCGTAGACATGAATTGCAGTTGTGTTTGCTGCCATCGAGGTCATTTGAGATGCACGTTTCTTTTGAGATGAGGAGGCTGGATATATTGATACGTCAGAACCTGTGTCGACGAGAAAGTTTATGTTCGTTCTCTTGTCTAGGATGAACAGGCGACAAGATTGTTCCGGCAAAGTGCATGTTGGCGAAGCATAGAGGCAACCTCTATACTTCGCCGCTCTCGTTTGTTGGAAAACTACATGGAGGAGTACATTTTTGTGCCTTTGCACCAAAATTGTTGTGGTGCCAGCAGTAGTTGTTGATACTGTGGTGAGTTGAATTGTTCCGATATCCTGAACTGCTGCAGGAGCGTCAATAAAAATGGTCACTGCAATCCCGACGTGCTTGCGTTAGTTGATTGATTCGCTTGTTAAGTTTATCTATTTTGACTAGTATTTTGTTGGTTATGGTATCGGATTTCTCAGGTTGCAATACTGAAGCTATCGTTGCAAGGGTTACTTTCACCATGCAGTCCGCTACCTCCGCTGCTTTGTCTATGTCGAGTGGGGTAATGGCGGCTAGGATAGATTGGACGGAAGTCAGAAGGTGTTGTATGAATAATTCTAGTATAAATGCGTCCGGGATTTGAAAATTTTCTGCCCGACGCTTTAGAACACGTAGTAGTTCGGAGGGTTTGCGATCTCCTAGCTGTTCTCCAGCCAATAGTTTTCGTAGCTCCTGTTGAGACGATTCGCCAAATTGTTTAATAAGTTTCACCTTTAAGTGACCGTACGGGTCTGTACGGTCCAGAGAAATAATAATGTCTCTAACCGTTGATGCAACTTCCGGTGGTAAATGGGCCACTATGTAGTTGAACTTTGTGGCACTTTCCGTGATTGGCTTTGGAGATCCTAGCGCAAAATGTGCTTTCGCACATGTGGAACCATAAGGCTGAGTCAGAAAAGTTGTATGGAGGGATTTTTACCGCTCCAATCTCGGCCATGATCTGACGACTGAGGTCTTGAGAAAAGGAAAACAGCGTACCTGATGAAGGTTCCAATGGTAGTTCTTAGTCAAATTATGTTCTTAGTTCGGCTCACCAATGTGGTTTTTGGGTTGTTGTTGCCTTTATCTTTCATTGCTGTGTGTGAAGAAATGAACGAGACGAGATCGTAACAAAAACTAAACTTTTATTGTCCTTCTCGTGTGCTTGGTACAGCATGTCACGACGACACGACTAACAAAGACAACTGGTGGTCGATGGTCTTTTTGGGGTGAGTTCGAATTTATTCCAGGAAGTGATGACTCATTCACCCGGGGGTAATTGCTTGTATTTTACAACCGTTAAGGGTACAGATTGAAGGGCGGCATTCGCCACAGTTTAAATCAATTGTCAGTAGTGGACATTGCCCAAGAACTAGTTTCTGTGCAAGACTCATGTGTCTGGGTTGACCAAAATGGCTGGTACTATATCAACCTCATTGTATGGACGAACCTGTATAGTTCGTATGTGTCTATATGTATGACCTGGTGAATAACTTTGTAAATTTTTGTATATATCAATATTCTACTTGTACATAAACTTATTGTTAAGTTGCTTTTCTTTGTTTTCCTTCTCACATGGTAATCATTCATCTTCACAATAGTCTTAATACTGATTATTGTGATTTCCACAGTACGCATTGATAGACAGTAAAGAGCAAGAAAAGATGGCTATTCCATCTGCAGTTATTCAAGGGTGCTTATTCCATGAGTTTAAACTGGGCACTAATGCAATGCAAGCAGCCTGGAACATACGTAAAGCATTTGAAGAGAACACAGTGAGTGAACACACAGCTCAAAAGTGGTTTGGAAAATTTGCATTGGGTGATGAGTCTCTTGAAGATGCATCTTGTGATGAAAGACTGAGCATCATTGATGAGGATAAATTGAAGACAGTCATAATTGGATTCAAGACAAATGTACCAGGAGCTTGCAAAAAGGTTCAATCTCAATGATGAAACTATTTGTTTATATTTTCATCACCTAGGAAAACCCTGGAAGATGTGCAAATTGGTTCCATGTATACTGAGTACCAATAACAATACTTCAGAGACTTTTGATCTGCTTTCGCAATGCAATAATAAGTCAGTTTTGGACCAGTTGTTGATATGTAATAAAAATGGGTTCTATACAACACCAAATGTTCCCATCATTGGATATCATCTGGTGAATCTATACCACATATGCCAAAGCTCAACATCCATCAAAAGAAAACTTTTTCTGTGAGTCTCTTGGAATCATTCATTACGAACTTCTTCCCTCTGGCCAAACAATCACTGTGGATGTATAGTTGGCACAATTACAACAGATTTAAGATGTGCTGCCGCAGAAACAGCCTGCACTTGTTAATCACAAAGGCATTGTTTTCCTTAAGGACAACGCATACAGCACAAGTGATCCAGGACAAGTTCCATAGCCTTGGCTGGAAAATTCTATACCACCCTCCATATTCATCAAACATATCACCATTGAGCTATCTCTTCTTTTGGCAGTGGACAATCATATGTGCAGTCAACAGTTTCATAACTGAGCAGTGTTATGTATAAATATAAACCTAGAAATGTTGAACTGTTATTGTAAGATATTTGAGGGAGGGATTGTGGACTAAGGAACTGGTGAATAAAATATGTTAAATACTATATCCTTACATACTGTCACAATCATTGATAAAAAGTTTATAATTGGATGCATCATGTTTCCAGAAACTAAAAGAACTGGAAATAGCAGACAGAACTTTTGTAGTTACCTAACAGTTTTATTTGCTTTATAAAGTATTAATTGAAATTTTTATTTATAAATACAGTAGAACCTCGGAAACTCGGCCTAATGTGGACCGAAGGGTGGCCGAGTTTGTGAAAATGCCGGGTTATCGGGAATGGGGTTAAAAAAAATAAGTGCGAGTGTTTCCTCAGAAAATACTGTACTGTACTTGTATGTATTGTTTACTTGAGAATATAACAGAGAATAAACTGCCCAAATACCCTTAAACAAAGGAAAAGTACGTCCTTTATGAAGGCATAGAGCCTTTACTACATGAAAATGAAAATTAATGAATACACTGTGTACAGTAATTTACCTGATAAGACAGACCTCAGAAAAATACTTTATGAGAGCTTTTATACTTTTATAAAGCTGTCTATAATGAAAATTAATTAACTAAGGATTTTTTTGCTCTGCCAGGATGTGCCCGAGTTATCCGGAGTGCCGGGTTATCGAGAGCCGAGTTTTCGAGGTTCTACTGTAATAAAATTTTATATTCTTAAATATGTAAATTTCAGAACAAATCCATTTTTGTTCTTGAAAATTTTATGCTTAGCACCTTTGGTATCATTCTCTCTACTCTTATATTTGAATAAAAATGTAAAAATAAATAATTCTAATTTTCAATAAATAAAGTATGCATGTAAAAATAACAAAGATATAAATTTTTAATACTTACAATGGGACCTTGACTACCAGCTAATCCTAGTCTACCATTTTCTCCAGGTGGTCCCTATTTGATTAAATTTTAAATCATGTAAATGAAAAAGTTTAAAACTATATTTTTAATAATTTTTAAAGCAAAATGACATTATTTAATATCAGTATTAATTCTTCCTACGTTAGGTAGGTATAAATACCTTTTCTCCAGGTGCTCCATCTCTACCTGTAAATCCAGGTTCTCCTTTTTGTCCTTTTTCACCAGAAGATCCAGGTTTACCTTGTCTACCACGTTTTCCCTGGAAAATACAATTATAAAATTTATTGAAAAATATTTTGAAAACTGTTTATATTAATATTCATCAACTTTTAAAAAATCTAATTTAAGATCTAACTTTTCAATTCAGAAAAGAAAACAGATTACTAATTCTATTGTCAAATAGATATTTTTTTAAATTTATTTTTCAATTTAAAAAATTTATTATATTAAAATATTTTGATTTTTATTATGTTGTTCTTTTTCACAAGCATTGCAAATCATGCAAACAATAGAGAAAATATCGTTAAGAAAAGAATAAATTATTTAATACATTAGCTAATGTGTAAATACTAATTATTTTTTGTACTTCTAAGGCAAGGTTTCATTTTGGCTTGCTTGGAAAAGAATTGAATATTTAAAGCTGAAGATAATACAGGTTATAGCAAAATAATGAAAACAAACTTTTGTTATTACTGTGACTTTAATAACTATAGCAATAAATTTGTAACAACAAAATATGACACCATATCTTAAAAATGAACATAGTCAATAATCTTCAATGTGGCCTCTATTGGTTTTAATGCAAAGCCTTAGATGTTTGACAAATTTATTGTGATGGCATGAACTCCTCTATTGATATTTTTCTCATTTCTGCAGAAATCCCATTTGTTTTCAGGGATACCAAACTATTTTAAGAGGTAGCACAGGCCCTTGCCTCAAAAAATTGGTCAAAGACTGTAACTAATTGGAGTGAGGTCAGGGAACACAGAGGCTATTCCTTGGCACTGATAAAAGCTGGAAAATTGTCCTTGCACCAGTCTTGTGTTGCTGTTGCATTATGTAGTGGCACAGGGTCATCCCAATAGAAAATTCATCATACAGATCTATCTGATACAGAAGTCACAAGCCTGTGGCCATCAGCCATAATATTGTATATTTTGTATCTATTAATTTTAGTCTTAGCCTTTTCTTTGTTCCTTTGTCTTCACTTTTTCTAGAACTTTCTTTTTCAAATCTTTCCCCCTGGGTGTGATTACCGATTCCAAGAAAAGAGTAGTAGAACAAAAGAAGAAGTAAGGCCCTGGAATCAAGAAAATGAGGGGAGAAGCCCTTCATTTTCTTGGTTCCAACCCTTTCATATCTCACAAAGACTTAGTACAGATATACTGCATTACAACATGTGATCAGACATTGTGTTAATCAGTATTTTGTATTTCTAGCTCACACAATTTTTGTCTCTGTTTTTCTGTTACACTCTGTAATTAAGATCATAAAATTAAAGATGATACAAATTATACATATGATATGAACTAGCTGTTACCTGCGACTTTGCCCACGGTGGTTTTGCAAGAAAACCCATTTATATTCAGTATTTCAACAACCATAGTAATTCTTATATAACACCTACCGCTGAGAATGATGAGAATTGCTGAGAATCAAACAAACTATTTTCAATTTGATCAATTTTCTGGAATATTTACCATCATTCTATAATCGAACTAATATGCAATAACAAATTCAGATTTAAAACGGTTCAAACATTTGGTTAAAAAATCGAAATATATGAAAATATTTATAACAATGTCTGAAATTTTATCAATTTAATACACCTAAGTACTCCACGAAGACTAAATGTAGTTGAAAACAAAAAAATCACATCTAAAATAGTACAGTAGAAGCCATTCGTCCAGTTAAGCCTTAATGCTCTCCCTTTCCCCCATGGGGAATTTCGAAAAATCCCTTCTTAGTGTGCATTTTCATGATGTACCCTAACTGTGTACCAAATTTTATCTTTTTAAGTTCAGTGGTTTGCTCTGGGCGATGATGAATCAATCAGTGACTCAGTCAGTTAGTCATGACAAGTATTTTTATATATTTAGATTAATTCCATTTATAAGATCTGAATTCTTTGTATTATCCTTATAGTCAGCAGCAGTTCTATCACTTCTTAACAAGATTTCAAATGCACTTTGAACCAGGTTTATCTTTTGCTTAACAAACTAGGTTATCTACCTTATTCTGACTCAAGTGATGGGGCATAAATAGATAAATTCCCAAAATTTTGTATGCATTAATTATTTTGATCAGCTATTATTTTATAGGTATTTTAATGGGTTACTATCTCCATGTAATACTTTTATCCATGTTCCTCCTTTACCAACTCAAAATTGATCTTATCATTTCCTAATTTTCATCTTTCTTTATCTTGTAGTGCTCTGCCACTTACTGGTTGTTCTTAGTATTGTATATAAATATTATTTGTATAGTTATTATCATTTGTACTAGCCTTAAGTTTTATTTTTTTTCAATTGTGTCGGGTTTTTTTTGTTGCTTTGTATTTGTCGTCTGTTCAGACATGTGTAACCCTTACTCTCTACCTCCCTCCTTTGTTTGAAACTGGACCTTTTGATTGGCTACTGAAGAGGTCAGGTGCGCTTGGCTAACCAGGAGTATATATAGCAGGTACACGTGTGTGCCAAGACATCTTTTTTCCTTCCATCTATGAAGGATTGCTGTTCGTAAAGGTTCAGATAACGTCATCGAGAAAAGCAGAACTTTACCGAAAGAGAAAAGGTTCGAACATCGAGAGAAGGGGACAGAATTGAAGTTCATCTGTGCTGTATGCAGAAGAAATCGAGTGGCCTGCACAATTAAAGAAGCTATAATACCAGAGACATCGACGGTAGTGAAGATTTCCCGACTAGGAATAGACGTTGGCCCGATACCTGATCATTTAAGTGCCAGATTTTCTAGTGAGTAGACTGTTAAACAAACCATTCTTCGCGTGTTAATGTGATGAGTCTGAACTGTGTTACGCGACGCAAAGGAGGAAGGAGAGTGAAGGGATTAGTAATATTGAATTCTGGGACACGTGGTTGTGTAGATGAGTCTTTGTTGAGAGTTCATATGAGCCCTCATTTGCTGAACACAAACCCTGTGTTAAATAAAGTGAAAATTTGTAAATTATTTGTTTGTGTTAGCTTGGTAGACCTAGGTCTAGCACGGTCAAATCAATCTAGATGGTCATTCTGTTACAGCAACTTTAAATGTGGATTCCTTTTTATTTTACTTATTTTAAATCTAAGTGTACATAATACTTTATAATTTATCATTGTAATTCTTTTATTATATATACATGCTTTCTCTTTATCTTATTATTTTTAATTTTTATATATTATGCAAATTTTATAAATTTTACATTTTGTTTTTAGTTTTTAATAATTTACATATGTATTTTATTATTATTTTGTCATATGTTGTTTCTGTTTTTATGGTGCATATGAACTGTTTTTTTCCTCTCCTGTCAAATAGCATTATTTAATGGATGTAAATAAATAAATAATGATCTTTAACTTTATAAACCAGGTTTACTCTTAAAAACACTCATAACAATAACAAATCTGCTATTGGAAGTTACAATGTCACTCATTGTAAATATGAAAAAAAAACATATAGGTCTATAATGGCTACATTGAAATGTTTTTAATATACAAGAATTATATATATTTCTTGTTGCCATATATACATGAGGTTGTTGAAAGAGGAAAAAAGGAGAAAGTAAATTAAACTCAAGTCAGGCTGAATGAGGGATAAAGACAGTATGTGAGTTATGATGGACACATTGAGGTAAAGCACCTTTATAAATGAAATCCATTTATTAGGAAAAACTGAAAGCTTACATAGTCTAATAAAGTGTACTCCTTGGACAATGATCTAAATAATCCAAAGATGTTATCATTGGTTAGGATTCAATCTGGCCAATGATACAACCTGCATTCAACTTGACACCATATCTCAACTCTGACCAGATGTTGATAAAACTTTGAAACCTGTGCTCATTAGACTGTTATGTTTCCTGTTCAGACATTTAGGTATTTTAATTGTAACACATGGCATTTTTCTTTCATTAAAACCATTCTGTTTCCTGATTCAGCTAGATTTCTGTCATTTCTAAAAGCATCAGAGTCAAAGTTCAAACTCCCAGTCTGACATTGATTAAGATTCTAACACGTGTACTCAAGTCATACTCAGGACTTACATTGTTTATATTTGCATTGCTTGTGCTGCATTTATTTTATACAATTTCTTTTTGATATTAAAATATATTTTTAACACATTTAGTAAGAGTTTGGACTCTAAGGTTTCACACACATACACACAAAGAGAGAAATCATAATTTTTGCAATAATGTCAATCTAGTTTATTTTGAAGAAAATTTTGATTAATATTATTAGTAGCAGATTTCAATTAATCAAAAGTTAATTAAATTTTGCAGTTTACTAAATATGTTGATTTAAATTTTTAGAGAAACATAAACATTTAAATAGGATTTTCTGAGACAATCA